CCTTATAGTGTGGAAAATACTTTATACGGAAGAAAAGAATATATCGCGATATATATTGTTACCGCACATGCTTCAAATGCCCTACTACACAGTATAAATTGTTAATGCTGTGTTTCATGTTCTTCTCGTTCTGCAGTTTAGGGCCTGCAGACCTTCTGCACAGACACCCTGTTTATGACTGAAAATAACAGGAAACCATGAAATACTTTGACTTAGCACAGAGTGGTGTATGCTGAACTTTAGTCAGAATGCTGTTTTTGAATCAGCACATAATCACACTCTGGGGTCAAAGTTCACCCCATCACACTGTTTCTTTAGTCCATTTTAAATGTAAGGCCAATGCGACCTCATTTACATGAATAAATCATAAATTATTCTGATTATAGTTGACGATCAGAGTCAGACAGATCATCACAGATGGATATGTGCCACAGTTTAGTGAGGATGCTGTTGTATTTAAAATGATCCCGTGTGTTTCGGCTGTCAAAGACGAACGAGGGCGGGGCAAGTTCGGGCTTATTCCTCTGTACTGTTCCCACCGCTTGCATGCCAAGGCTGTATGAAGCAGAGATGGTCACAGGTGATTATTTCTTCCCCTGGAGACCTGCTGTAAGGTGTAACTCGCACGTCTGACTTTTTCTGAACCAGCACACACCTGCAGCTTAAAGAAGTCCAGACGCTTTTCTTTCCAGGCTCCTTAGACAAACTACACAGTACTTTCTATATACTGACAATGCACAGCACACTGTGGGAATCATAGTTTCTAAGTTCTACATGCTTTGATTTGCAAACACAGGCGTGTCAGCAGAATCTGAGTGTCTAAATTCATGTGGTCTAACCCAGCACAGACAGACATCCCCACTTACCTCTGTTGTTCCTCCTCCAGTCTGAGAACGGCGCTTTCCAGAGAGTCATCTACGATTCTCTGTTAAAGCAAACACACAACAGCTGTATGCCGACACTCGCTGCTGTAGTTTTACTGTAAATACTGTGAATACTATTACTTGAGTCTGACCTCGGTGCTGAGCATCTGTGTATGATTATCCTGCAGCCGAAGCTCCAAATGCTGACATCGTTCTCTGTATTCCAACACCTGCAATAAAATCACAACCAGTATATTTTCCATCTCCCGCTACATCTACTCCAGTTATGAGTACAGCACTGCTGTTTGGCCTCACCTTGTTCTGGAGCCTGTGGATCAGCAGGGCCTGCCTGGCCTCCCTCTCTCTCCCCTCCCTCACCTTCTTCTTCCATTCCCTCTGCTCACCCTCTAGTTGCAGAGAGAGAGCAAGCGAGGGAGACA